TGAAATTTCAAATTACGATTGGTCGAAGGCGGAAATTTAAAATTAGCATCCGGTGACCACAGATTTTCAAGAAGTTCTCGTTATAGCTTAGTTATCGCGAGAAATATTTTACACCTGGAACCTGCAAGAACGTCAATATGTAAATTAGGTCGCAGGGAATGTAAAACTTGATTTTCGGGACGCAAAGGGTTGTGAAATTACCGGCATCTTGAAAACAATGGTGGTCAACATTTTTTTTAACTTAGAGCAGAGATGATTTCTGGCCTTAACCAAACTACGCCTAATCGTTAGTATTCATTATATACTGGGAACTGTGGGACTCGATGACTTACTCTAAAATCAGGTGCACTAAGGTCCTCAGCGTCAGAGCGTCTTAATTTTTGCGCTTGTTGATACTCGTCAGGTGAACTTTCGGTTGTCACTGTAGTTTGTGCAAACTCGTTCCTCGTTTTTACGGTATGCATTCGCATTTGTTTTGGTGATTCACGGACATTGAAAACACACTTTTTCTTCCAAATAGGTAAATTAATTTTTTCTCAGAATAAGGATCAGTAACCCGCGTTGAAACTCTAAAAGATATTGAGCATGCAAAATTTTGAAAGAACTATGTATTCTGAGTTCAATTATTTTTACCCCTTCGAAAGCTTCTAAAATCTTAAAATTCATAACAAGGATATGCGGTTATAGTATACTATAGTATATGTATGTATGTAGTACTTTTAGAGGTTATGTTAGTTCCAAGGTAAGTTCATACAAGGTGGTGTTACCAGAGTATCTGAGATTTTCGTAGCCGTGTTCCGAATGTCAAAATGAGGTGTTTGTTGTACACAACATTGTATTCATTCACCTTGCTTGGTTTTTTATCTGTAGATTTTTGCAAATAGTGGGGGGTTGAACCCCCAAAACCTCTACCTGCGTTCGCCCCTGATATACATGCATCTATACCTAAGACAAACGATCATTTCATTAAATGACTCAGAGACAGGCAACTGTTCATTACGAGGAATACCCAATAGAATCATCAACTAAAGACTGTTTATTTGTATTTATTTTAAAAGAGGCATAGGTAATTTCAAACTGTTTTGTTTTTAAATGGTTGGATATTGGTAACCGAAGGCATCTGTAAATCCTTCTATCATCATAAACTAATGACAAAACGTTATACCTTTGGCTGATGGGTCATTCCAGCGAAGACGGCACCATAGGTCCAAAAAAAAAAATTGCTGAGGTTGGACTTCCTTACCAAAATTTAGGTCTGGCACTCTCCACTGTGGTCAATGTCCTAAATAACCTAAGATTAGAGTGATTTTCAATTATGGATGAGCACAATCGATCTTTCTAAGTTGCGGGGCGAGTAAACCCGACGTAATAAAAAACACGATGCTTCCATTTACTTTTTATGTCGTAAACTAGAGGTGGTAGGGTAGGTCTAAAAAATAATTTTGCCATTAGCGGAATTTCAATGGTTATCAACTTAATTTAAATTCTCTAAAAGCAGTGGAAAGACACAATCGTAGACTTTTCAACGAACATGAGATTTTCCGAGTCTGTTGAAAATTGTCCACTTCATGACTTTAAGGGTATTCTGCAACCAAATGGAGCCTTACACAATTCAGCACTTCCAGTCGTACTAGTCACATTTACTTTACTACCGCGGATGAGCATTGTAGTGGAAGTTTCAGAAAAAAAACCATGACTCATTGATTGTCGTTTGCCATAAAGAGCTGGACGCCAATATTTATTTAAATACTCAATGAGTAATTCTGTGTTTATTAAGTTTCAGGGGATTTCCTTCAACAGCGCGCACCCTTCCTTACATATTTAATGCGAAGCCAATATCCGAAGCTAATGGGGTTTTTTTATAAATTTTTTAGGCTACTTTTTATCATGAGCACAGTGTTTTACAAGCATACAAGTCGCTAACAAGCAATGGAGCATTCAATTTCAATTGCTTCTTGCAACTATTGAAGTAACCAAAAAAAAACTATAAAATACTGCTACCGATTTTGCAAAATTGTATCTCGAGGACTTATGTTCAATACACCCTATTTGCAATTTTCTGAAAAATGAGATTCTGATATATATATTATATTGACGTTTACCTTCTTCATCGCCTTTTAGAGGGATTTTTTATTAAATTGCAAAGTTAAAAGCAACATCAGTGATGACAGTTACATAAATCCCAGATGGGTTCTAACATCAGAAAGTAGTTTTTTGTGAAAACTACAGACAAGTTGTTTTGATGAATATAAGCCCTCGATATGATTTTTTATATTAATAGTGGTTCTGACTGGGAAAACGAAAAGGACCCATTAATATTTAATATTTGGGATATTCACGCCTGGCTGTGTTTTTATTTATACCTTTCATGAGCAAGAAATGTTGTTATAACTTGAATGCTTGTAAGTACCAGAAGAAGAAGAAGAGATAGGCCCATTTTCAAAACGTCGAGCTGAGTCGGCTTAGCCATTTCCGTCTGTCTGTTTGCTTGAACGTAATCTAGTCCCTCAGTTTTCGAGATATCCGACTGAAATTTGGTAAACTTGTGTACTTTTAAAATGTATTAATCATTTGTGGGAACCTGCACAATCGGGCCACTATAGCAAATGATTGTCCCGATATGGAGTTTTACTTTAAAACTCCTTCATTTGGGCGGGTAATACCGAGCAATTCCGTTAGCTATTTTCTAAATAATCATACAAAGTAAACAAGAAAATCGTCAAGTTCGGTGCTGTATAAGTTATATCTCCTATATCACCGATTATTAAGATCCCAGATTTTGCGATATAACTCTTTTATGTAGGCAGCTGCAACCATTAAATTGTGTGATTAAAAATTTTGTTGAGCAATTTTCAACCAAACTTTACTTACCTTTCGGTCGATGACGTCTGCATTTGCTCTTACGAGGACACCAATCAACCGGCTAGATCCACATTTTCCATTACAGCATCGAAAAATCCAGGAGCCCTAAAATCGTAATCCTTAAATTATTTGCAAGAGTTGTCAACAAAAGTGTGGACTCTCATTTAAGGCATATTGAATTTTTTTTCTTGAGGGGCTTTTTTGTTATTTTTTCCGAGGAGGAAGCATCGAAAGCCTTATCTTAAAAACCGTGAGTGTAAGTTAAGTAGATATTTCGTCGGGATCCGGTTTGAGCACGAAACTCTACGACTGTTAAAGCTTAAACAGTTAATTCCCCGAGTTGATCCAGATCAACGCTGCAGTCTGTTTATGCTTTTACTGTTCATATGATTCCATCCACTGTTTCTCCTGATTTAATATTAAACCTACCCTTAGTCAACTAAGAACGTTGTTTCTAAATCTAGTAACGTCCGGACGCAGCACTTATTGCTGCTTTTACGATTATTTAAAAAAGCGTTGTTCTCATTACGCCGGGGATAAGCGAAAAGAGCCCATGCTCCGGACATCCCGAGTGCTGAGTCCTACGAAACTAGTTTTTATGCGAACCATACTCAAACTTCACGCTTATCAACAATAAGTTGCGTTCATTCCCTAAACATCCGTTGAGGATTTTAATGCATCGAACGAGTGTAACTTTATACAGGGTATAGATTTAATTACTCCTGCTAGTATGCCGTGTAGTCTGGATTGTCTCGCTGCGGTCCCCCAATATTTTCCATCCGTCTGAGCAAATATTTAGTCGACAAATCTTCCGAGGAGATCCTTTGTGTTTTAAGGACATACAATAATTGTGGAGAAAATGCTTAACTTTAGCTGGGGCTCTTTTAGCCAAAGCTCTATTTATTACCTCCCTTTTATTAGCTTGGGATGTAACTATAGTACATATGTGTAATATTGATGCGCCTAAAAGATGCAGCGATTTCTATTCTTAAGTTAAATACCTGATGACAGTACGAATGGGAATTTTAATAGCGAGGTTTTAGTTTTTTTTTACTATAATTTTTTATTAATTTTAAGACTACCATCCTCGAATGAAAATCAATCAACTAAGTCATTTTCTTTTCTTTAATTTTTTATTAATATCATAACATTTGCATTTTTGTATTTATTCTTATACATTTTTTGTAATGTAACATTTTTTCACACCCGCAGATGAAAAACGAGGATAAAAACAGGTACATACATACATACGTTTGTACAACTATTAATAAATAGTTCAAGTTTTAAGTTTTTGTGGAATCAACGTATGCATGTAATTTTGAATTAATGCATTTGATTTATACTGAAATACTCACACAACATTTCGTTTAACAATGCAACGCATTTCGTTTATTTTTCTTTCGTTCGTTTTGCTTTACACACATTCTTGCTAGTTGTTACGATAGGTACTTACAATTCTGTTTAAAAATGTATTTGTAAGTATACATATTTTTATTTCGAGTAACTTTATTCTTCTTATAGCCTTAAGTAATTCACAGTTGTTGCTACGCAAGTCACGTCTTCCGGGTAACTTTGCGGGTCATGAGTGGATAAGTTGTGCACGCTTTGTTGCAGCGGTGGGTGTTCGCGCCTAAAAATCCCTTTATTGAAGTCAGCAAAAGTAGTAGTTCGCATCAACAATAACAACAAACTGCTAATTAACTTTTAATAATATTATGTATGTATGTATGTATGTATATGGTATTTACGAATACATTATTGGAATTTTATTTTTACTTCAACATTAGCGTTGTTCAATAAAACATCGACAAGACCTTCTAGCTCGAAGATTGAAACATCTCAATATACTAAACAGTTGTTTTAATTTTGCCACAACTTTTTTCTATACCTTTTTGCTAATGCAAATACGAGTACAATTTAATATCAGTTATATTTCATGTACAGCAAACTTAATCACAAAACATAATAATACAATGGAAGCCATAAACATGTGTACATACATATGTATGTATGTACATGGCATGCAGCTTTTAAAATAAATAAAAAATAAAAAAAAAAATACATAAAATTAGTAAAATAAATCCATCAAAGCAAAAGCGTATGAGCATTTACGTAAATCTACATGATTTTTTTTTTCATTCAATTTGCGCAAAATTTACAATTGGTGCCCAACGTTAGTTTGTGTAGAATTGTGCTAGAACCTGAGTTTCTGGTAACACCTTTCAACGAATATATGTATGTATTTACGCATGTATGTATTTAATGATATGATAACATGTAATAATAATTTAAATCATAGAAGCGAATCACTTTGCAAATCCAGCAAAGTAAAAATATGAATTTATGTGCGTTTAATATTTACTTTTGTGTTTATTTGTTCATGAATATGTTACTCCAATTTTCACGCATTCTGTAGCTTTTAACTTAATGCAACTGGCGTGTTTTTTTGTTACGAGTAGCGAACACTTTTGAGTGTTTAGTCACTTGCTACTACTATACTGGTTTCCTAGTGTAGCTGTCAATGCCTAAGCTACCGCATCGGTAGCACACTCCTCCTCGACTGTAATGTACATACCCTCCTCTTCGTAAGCGGAATCGTGTTTAGCCAGGATTCTCAATAGGGGACGTAATTTGAGCCACCACTGCGACTTGGGGATGCGTTGTCTATGTAAAAGTAGAAAAAAAAAATATTTTTAAATGATTTTCTTATAAATCGAAAATCTGTATGAAACTGTTAATTTATAGAGCTTTTTAAAACTATTTTATTTTTTTATGAATAAGTCCATTAGTTTAAAAAAACAATTCAAATGATAATCCTTACGCCTATTTTCTAGAGCAGTGTAGTATTGCTTAAAATGCCAAAAAAAACAAAATTTTCATTCACTTAAAACACGTTAATTTCTGAGTAGAAAGATTTTTCCACGTGTGCCGGTTCTCCGTTTCGTAATGACCATGAAAATAATTGTGGTCTTAGGTTGCTCGAGCCAAACGGCAAGCTCAGCATCCTCCTACCTAGCCCCCAGGGACTCTGGATCTCAACTGAGTAACGAAACTCTTCCAGCTCCACTTCAATTCCTAACCCGCAGTGCTTGGTACCTCATACCGCCTGCTCCGCGGATCATATCAGGGTAGTCAGGTGCAATTCTTGACTTGGCTGGTGCCACTTTAGAACATAGCCTCGGCCGCACTCGCATATTTGGGCTGAAATTTACATTTTTCAACTCTACTCACTCAAAGTTGGTTTCGGCAATCAAATCTGCTAGAGGTGTGAAACGGTACTGACGACGCACAATACCGAGTAAACAAGCTGAATCGCTGCTTTCACAACGCACAGTGCCATCTGGTTTGGTGTTGCTCTTAATTTGTTCATTCAGCCAGTCAACGCACTTGGCAGCCATCTTGGTGCCCATATTACGATCGAAAGGCGTTGGTGAGCCACCCTGCTGCATGTGACCTACACAGTAACAAAGAAGGACCCATTTGTATTTCATAAATAGAACGCGTAATTCAAACATTTCATTTACCCAAAATATTCATACGGCACGAGAATAGACCCTTGCCCTCTTCCGAGTACAAACGGTGTATAAAATCAGTGTTATAGTTTTCAGAAGCCTTCTCATTGCGCAATATCAAACCACGTTGGACACCTTCGGCCATCTTCGAGGCCATATGGTAGACATCTTGTTGCAGATCTTTAATGGAGAATTTCTCCTCGTAGATGTATGCAGCATCAGCGCCACCAGCCAAGCCAGCCAAAGTGGCTAGATAACCACAATAGCCACCCATTGTCTCAATGACGAAGACACGACGTTTTGTGCCCTGTGCCGATTGGCGTATACGATCGCAAATCTCTGTAATCTCATTGAGACCGGTATCGCATCCGAGTGAGAATTCAGTACCAGGAACATTATTCGAGATAGTTGATGGTATAACCACCATTGGGATACAGAATTCAGGATAGTTGGGACGCTGATCGGAGATCTGACCGCAAGCGTGGTAGGCCTCAAAGCCACCAATAACAAGTAAGCCTTGGATTTTGAACTCCTTGAGGCGTGCGGCAATCTCCTTGAATTTGCCCTCGGGCAGTGTACGCTTAGTGCCGAGGAAAGCACCACCTTGACCAACCCAACCAGTTACATCTGACCTAAAAGTGTTCATGGTTTTAATGCTGAAACAATGCGCAAACTGAGATTTGAACTACTTACCAACCCATCTCCTTGATATTGCCAGCAATCAGACCTTCAATGCCGTCATGCACGCCAAAAACAGTGTCACCACGGTAAATGCAGTTGCGCACAAAGCTACGCACGGCAGCATTCATACCACAAGCGGGTGCGCCAATATGCATGACAGCCATGCGAAAACCCTCCTTAAAGAAACAGAAAAAGTTAAAAAAAAAAAACCATTAATATATTCACCCAACAATTGTTGCTCACCTTTGCGTTTTCGATCGATTCCTTTGGCGGCTTCAGACGCGTCAACATTTTGTAAGTTTCCAGATTGCGTTCGAAGGAGCGTCCACGCAATTTACGGCCAATTCCCAATTCTTCTCCGCCATCGCCTGGGCGACTTCTTTGGTACGTTCAACGCACTCCATCAACGGTACACGCACCGCCTGATTGCCATCCAACGAGACGACACATGGCACTGAGTCAGGTGTGGCTTCCATAAGAGCCAACGTAGCCTCAGCACCCATGCGGCAACCCTAAGCGAGAAAGGTTCTATTCATTATAGAAATGTCGACATTCTTTTTATTGAAAAAACTACGCACCAAAACACGGTCAAAAGCACTGGGATTACCACCACGTTGCACATGACCGAGCACAGTGATGCGAGTGTCCTGCTGCAGCTTGTCGACGACCACTTTCTTGACATCCTCGGCAGTAATGGGGTGGCCCTCACGATCGATGGCACCCTCGGCGACGATAATAATGTTCAAGCGTTGACCAGCATTACGCTCCTGATTGTTTGGAAATTAAAGCGATAGGGTTTGGATGTTTGAAGAAAAATTTGCAATTAGTGGACGCAAGTAGTAGTAAAATTCAACAAAAATGATTATGAAACGTTTACGAATACATTTAGGATGAATATTGGAGCTACTAAGTTCCCCCACTTTGTCGATTTATATAATTCATGATATGTACAATTGTAGGTTTTTTTTCATAAATATTCCTTTTTCCTAAAGTTAGAAATTTTATAACGCTAACTTATTTTTTTTTGTTTTGAATCACATAAAGCAAATCTTAAAATTGCATGTGGGTCACTCCGTGTTTAGTTTCTATAAATACTCTATTAATAAATATATAAATTGCAACGAGTTTAAAACTTCGATATTGATTTTATTTCTTTAAATATTTCTGGAAAAAATGTTTAAGACTTAACACTCGCACATACATATGAATGTATGTATACATAAATCGACAAATGGAATAGTGAGAAAATATGTACATTTATCAAAATTTAGTTTTAAACAAAAAAAAACGGGTTAATTAATGAGCGATATGTATTTATTATTTTAGCAATAATTGATGAACAAATAACAAAAAAATACAACTACAACTATTAAGCGTGATGTTGGCGAAAGTTACCATTCAATTGCTTTTTAATGAATCGAACTAAGCCTATGGATTTGTGATGACAAAAAAAAAATTTGATGGATATGTACAGTGAATAGTCGTTGTACAACGAATGGCACTAGAGTGATGTAAGAAATCAAAAAAAACGCGAAAGCGAATGTAGAATTATTTATGTATGTATGTATGCACACTTAATTTTTTGTTTAATTTTTGTTTTTTTTTTTGTGGGGTGAATTTGCTTATTCGATTAATAATTTAGAATTTTTTATTCTTCACAAATTTATTAGGCCTTTATGTATGTATGAATATCCTACCAAAAACAAAGCAATATAAAAACAAACGTAATCTAGTCCACGCACCAAATAAACACAAATACCTTTACGACAAAAGTTTTTTTAGCGGTCACAATATGTGTACTTACATATGTATATGTTTAGTAAAAAAAAAATATATATATATTAGAAACGCGGGAGGAAGATTACGCTAAATAGGAAAAAGTGCTTAAGTCTTGATTCGTCAACATGCAGCAATATCTGATAAATTCGTACTGTTTCTAGTAAAAATATTTAGTTTTCAGAAGTATAATTTCACTCTAGCGAAACAGAGACAAAATGATTCAATTCATTTCATAGTAAATCTTAATACAAACGTTAAATCGGGTTTTGTCGCGTTTCAGGTTGACCTAAACACGTTTTCCTTTATTCATCAAATGTTTAAAAATATTATATTAAGAACAAGCTGTTGTTATTATTGTTTAATACATTACAATGTTTGTCCCAAAACAAAAAAAAATTGTATGCAGCTTTTCCAGCTTATGCACCAGCCAAACCCCTTAGCAAGCAAAAGAGAAGTAATTTTTACAAAAGCTTATAAACAATTACTAACAAATAACCGCAAAACCATAAGTCAAAACAATTATGAATTAAGCTTTCCAAATTGAAACTGCACTCTGACCTGCAGTATTTTTTTGCACAATTTTTCCGGCCAGTTAACTGGGACCGGCTCCTCGGGTATAAATATGAAATCAGCCTCGCTAGCTAAAGCCGCCGAAATGGCTAAATAACTAAATAGAATTATAAAAACAAATGATAAAATATTTTAACAAAACAAATGCAAATAATACGTAATAATATTAGATACATTGTACAGTGTAGTAACCATAAGTGATATTAAGAATTAAGCGCATATAACAATTAAAAGTTTTTCCGTTTGTAATAAAAAATTTAAGTACTGAGATTCTTCACACTTGCCTGGTTATCAGGTTATGTGTTTATATGGCTATATTTTTTATTCAGTTTACAACAATAAAATACACTACACAATAATAATTTTTAACCAGATAACCTGATAACCAGGCAAGTGTGAACAATTCTTGCTTTCAACTTAAACTTTCACTATACAAAAATTTAAGTTAAGTATATAAAATTATCTTTTACGGCGTTGTGAGCTATGAAATGAAGGGGTTAGTATCAAAAGGATCTAAGTAGGTCTGACACTCTTTTGAGATAATTAAGGTTAAAGTTGATTACTTATTGTAAATTCTGGGTAAATGCATTTGAAATGATTCTTGCCCGACCAATAGATGGCACTGCAATGTCCGAAATGACTTGGATCTCTTTGTCACCAAATCAACACTATATTTAACTATACAAATATGGGTATAACTTGCATTTTCAAAAAATGTCACTTAGACCCTTATGATTCTAACCCCTTCAAATTAAAAAAAAAAAAAACATTAACTGAAAATGTCCGATCGTTTAAGGAGAAATAACCATAGACAAACAAGGATGGGAAACAGGTAAAAAGGAATATGGGAAAACAACAATAACAGGATTGCAGGTAGGAAAATTTGCGGGGCTTCAAAAAAACGTTCTTAAATATTTTTGGGCTATAAACAATATTTTTTTTTTTTTTTTTTGTAATACAAGCTGCTCTGTACGGGACTCCTTGGTGCGTGCTGCAGCGGGGGTGAGGAAGTGCAAAGGGGGTGTGTAGGTAAAAGTGCAATGTTAAATCAAACAAGAAATAATATATGTATTTATTATAAACTGATAAGAAATTCAAACTCCCGCCAATCAACGTTCGAAAATCCTCAAATAGCTATCAAAAGCAGAATATTACACACGGTAAGAAATAACATAATGAATCAAGGAAAAATAGGCATCCAGTGCAAATGATTGCAATGTGTGCAATAAAAACCATGAGTGTTTCAATGAATGAAAACGTCGGCGTTTAATTAAGTAGAGGAAATAAAATAAAGGGAATATTATGAGCACAGGGAAGTCAGCATAAGCATAGCCCCTCCTTCGCTTAGGTAAACACATACGTACATACATACGTAATAAAAATGAATATTTCTTTAAGTGGGAATACTTCTGCGGTGAAAAAGGCGTGCGCCAAGCTTGTAAAAATTGTTAAAACTGGTCACTTTTAAATCAATCGACTGAGTACTCTGAAGCCGTCCTTTGAATATTTTAGAGTATGTATTTCTAACGTGACCACTGCAAAAATTTGTTAATTTGGACATTTCCGAAATTTGAATTTCGAAAAGAAATCGGTCTGCTTGACCTGTTAGGCAAAGGATGCATTCTTTTTTTTAAAATTGTTCAATACCATATTGTTCAATTACCAACTGCGAAGAAGGTGCATTAAAAAATAAAATAATTCTTCTCAAATTTGTAAGAATTTCGTTCTTCGTGTTTGCAAAAGCGGCTACTTTAGAAAACAAAAAAATCTAGATGATGAATACCAGCGTTCTAAGTACATATGTATGTTTGTATGTATATACATATACATATGTATATATGCAACACGTATGCGCATACTTTTACACATCTATACATATCGTGCTTTACCTTAATACAGAAAGGCCCTATGTACAATGCTTGTGTCTTTACAGAGTTTTTACAATACTTTATAAATGAATTCGGAATTTCTTGAAAATCCTGGGTAGTAATTTTTACATTCTATTAGGCCTTTATTGAAAATCTACCGACCTTTGTACAAAGCTGAATTTCGGAAGAAAATGAGTTAGGGCATTTCTGTATTAAGCTAAAGAAATGTTTATATGTATGTATGTATCTATGCATGCATGTGTATATACAAACTTTGCTACTCCATTAAAATGTTTATTTCAATTTTTCTATATATTTTTTTTTTCTTGCCTGCGACAATTGCTGACATAATCTTTCGGGCCAATTTGCTCTTGGGGGATTTTCAGGTATGAAAATATAATCAGCCTCGCTGGAAAGACCGGCTACAAGTGCCAAATAGCTGTAAAAAGAAAGATTCACGCACCATGACAAACGACAACAAACAGTAACCATAACAAATGCGGATCCTAGAGTGAATTTGCTCCCGTCGCTTTACTTTGATAGCATTTGCTAAGTACATAATGTAGCATTTTGCGTTTTTAAAATATCTATGTTTTACCTTTTCTTGCTCTAATTTGTTCCCTAAAAATACACTATACCCAATAACAGAGCGCAATGCCTCAATGTAGTTTCGATATACTATGTATTTTCTTGAACAGTACAGCTTATTTGTTATTAATTCGTTATTCAATCAAGACATAAACTCGGGTTTTTTAGACAACATAAATGTACTTATGTATATGTATGTAAGTATGTACATATGTATGTTTACTTATGTACTTAAGTATGTAGTAGTTATTTGTCACTTGTAACAATTTATAGCCAATTAAGTTCCAATCGTATTCAGAGAGAAAAGTATTAATGTATGTGTGTATGTACTAGAGGATGGTCGTGTGCAACTAACACTACATTTCAATGCTCTCATATTGACTCGGACCAAAGCGCGTCGGATCAGCATTCCAAGCCAACAAACAAAAGAAGCATTAAGCTAAATTAAAACTAATTTTTGTTTGAAGCTCTACAATAAAATATTACTATAGAATCGTAGTATTTGAAGTTGTTCATAACCATATACGTTTGTGGCCATGCTGAACCAATTGGCGCGCTAAAATTTTTAAATAGACAACTCAAAATGGGCAACAATACACTGGCTGCGAAAAATATTAATCTAAAATGTAAAATGGTTATGTGAAAAAGTCTTATTTGGCTTGCCTGTATAAGCTTATTGCATAGACGTTCGGGCCAGTCGAACGGTGGTGGCGATTCAGGACAAAATACATAATCAGCTTCGGAAATAATACCAGTAACTACAGGCAAATAACTGCATTTAGAAGGAAATCGTAAATTAAGGGCAGTCAGTTAATGGTGATAAGAAATTTTAGTTAAATATATCCATCCAAGAATTTTTTTCTTTTTCGATTCTCGCCAATTGGTGGTGGGAGCTTTTACTTTAAGCATGTTAGGCTTTGCACTTTTTTGTTATTTCAATTGTATTTAATATTTTTTAAACATGATAAACAAGTCTTACTACAACTTACCCACAATGACGACCCATCACCTCCATAATGAATGTACGTTGATGAGAATAGGCAGTACTAACAATAGCATCTATAGCCTCAATGATGCGGTGCAAAGCTGAATCGGTACCAATGGTCATGTCAGTGCCGCAAAAATCATTATCAATGGAGCCCACCTAAGAAAGGAAAATTTAGAATTAAATTATGTTACGAAATGAACCCAAAAAAAAAAAAATAGCGAGGCACTTACATTATCTCTTTTTTAATTGACAAAATGAACTCACCATGCCTACAATATGCAAGACGTCGAACTTTTTACGTTGCTCAGGTGTTATTTTTTTCGACTCTAGCAGCTCGTCCAACAAGCCAGACCATTCCGTACGGAACAAATTCGCACCAGTAAGTGAACCATCACCACCGATCACAACTAGGTTGGAGACGCCTTTTCAAACGAGACGATAATAAATTGAAACGGAAGAGTTCAAAGGAACGTAACTTTTCGCGTACCCTTTTGAATAAGATTGTATGCAGCCTTTAGGCGACCAGCGCGTTCACGGAATTCTGCACAACGAGCCGAGCCAATCACTGTGCCACCGCGATGAATGATCGATGACACCGATGCCCAGTTTGCTTCGACGATGTTTTCGCCACCGTCAACCATACCCTGGTAGCCTTCTCGAATGAAATAGGCCTAGAAACATGTAAGAGTAATAACATTATTAAATGTAAATGTGTACAAATATATTGGATATGGGTTAAATAATTGTTTCATCGTTTTACATCTTGTATGTGGGTCATTTCCAAACAAAGTGCTATTTTTTGTCCCCCCTTTTTAAATTGTTGTATGGCGGTAAAAACAAATAATTAAATTGCAAATGTCTCTTTATTGCTTATGGAGTTTCTAAACTTATTTATTATTTTAGCTTACTTTTGTAAAAGTGACATTCTGCAAAATATTTTACAAAAAAATGCAAAAAAAAATAAAAATTTTTGAAGAGCCTGAGAGAGTTTCGTATTCTGCACAAATTTTCACGCCAGTAAATGATTTCAGAGGATAAATTTATCAGTCTTAAACAAAATATATATATAATAAAAATACCTGCTATTTACATTTTTTTTTTGGAAATGACCACTTTGGAAACAAAACTATATAATAAAAATATGGAAAGCATACCCTTTTCTATAACGTTTCAATTTTATAACTTAAAATAGAATTATGTATGTACATATGTATATAGTTAGGTTCATAAATAAACATTTGTGAAAGAAAAAATTCTATTTTAATCTTATCATTATATATTTATGTATGTTTGTATACATAATACATAAAGCGACATACTAAACATCTCAAAGTTTAAAAACGCGTCAGTTGCTGTAAAAGATAAAGAAGAAAATTTCTAGATAAGATTTTAAACTTTGCCTACATAACCTACTACAATTTAAAAAATTTACCTGCAAAAATGTAAGATTATCTACTTTAATATTTTTAGGGAATACTTGTGATTCACTTTGTGCCGAATTTCCAATACGTAGTTAAACTATGGTTAACCTAATCACTATCTAACTATTTAGTTTAACTATCACTAGATATTCACTAGACATCTCATGTAATTATACAACATTAAAAAATCATTACCCCTGGTCAGGGGTTAACTACGCACTGTGAATTCGTTGTTTTTAGGGGTAAATTAATTAAATCGCGAATCCACATTTGCTTTACTTTAAATATTCGGCTTATTTCGGCATAACTTGAATGTTTGGAGTTCGGAATGGAAAATGTTCAAATCAATCAATAAATATGAATGTAAGTATATACATGTGTATATACATATATATATTCAAATACCAAAATCTTAAGAACTTTTTAAAGTCAAAGTAATTTTAATACTATTAAAAGACTGATTGAATCTAAATATTAAAAGCTATTAAAAGTAATTAGCGTTTTTTTATGGCAACAAAGGTCATCAATCCTATCGGCTATGACTAATTTAACGAATGCCAAAATTTCCAGACAAAAAAAATATTTGCAGACTCATTTGATTTAAAATTTTCCACGCATCACAGAAATGATGATAAGATACAACATCAAAACAGAAAATATAATAATATAATACATATTAATTTTAAACGAAAAAAGTATAAGGAATCACGATCCATGAAAACGAATGATGACGCTCTTAGTTTGAGTCGTCGACGACATTTAATTTCTTATATTAAGGTACATATTTACATAAATCATATCTTTCCGTAAACAATACTTTTTCAATTTCACTTTTATCTAAGGCCATAGCGAGTCGATTAGCCAAATGTAAATTATCGTTACGTAGGCAGACAGATCACTTGATGGCAATGCGTCGCCATTGCACGAGCGAAGAGAAATTCGTGTGCAACACAGCAAAATTAAATTAGATAAAACTTGCATACATACATACATATGTACGTACAGACATATCCTACACCTTCTTCAGAAGAAACGCAACTCAAAAATCAGATCAGGAAATATAACTGCTGTGGATAGTGCAGATTCAAAGCAATTAATAGATAAACTGATACAACTGTTGCTTTCTAATTAGAGAATACAATCATGATGCAGAAAAAAAAATATATTTACAAAAATGGAGATAAACGCTAAGAATTGATTTATGCACAAAAACAACAAAACATTTTTTTTTGAGTTGTGCCTCTTTTGAAGAAGGTGTGCGATATGTACATACATTCATAGTTATGTTTGAATGTGCATATGTGCATATAGTGTGTAAATACATGGATATGTACATACAGACATGTAAAATTTTGTACATACGTAGGTATATATGTATATAGATATAAGTAGTACAGGTAAAACTTTTTCGCAAGTTTTTATGTACACATACATAACTAAACAATTTCTATAAATAAATCCAATGCCACGGTTATGCACTCATGCTCATGCATAATGCCGCGGAGCAAATTCCGAGTACATGTTATGTATACTTATATGTAATACAAAATACAAATTACTTTATCAAAAGTGGTACTTAATCAAAAGAGCCGACGACCGATAAGCGCGCGATTCTAGCGCACGCCCACAGGCCGTTCGTCTAGCCTATTTTCACGGCAATTCACCTAAAACCAATATGAGTAAATACCTTGCATCCCAAGTAGATGGCCATACGTACGCATGCACGCACTGCAGCGTTCATGCCCTGCGAGTCGCCACCGCTGGTGAAGACAGCAAGACCCTTGCCCTTATGGGAGCCACGCTCAATGAAACGTTGCCTTAACTCGTTTGGCATTTTTACACTTTTTACTCCGCGTTAAAGGTGTATATCAATAAACAATGAAGTAACAAATTCCCTTGATGACACGCACAATAGTATCTAATTTTATTAAGCGGGTTTCACTTGGTGTTTTTTGAACTATTTTTCAATCTCAACGGTCTATTTATTTCACTTTAAATTAGCTATACGGGGTCGAGACATGAGAATGCTCCTCAACTGATAGTACTCTCTAGCACCGTTTGCAGTCACCGCTTTATCAATCGTTTGGATGCACCGATGTGTATAGCACGTATGCGGGCTTGTGACTTTTAGCACGCACTGGAGCTTCTGCACTTTGAGTCAGCACGGCAATTATGAAAATTTATCCAAAATTCGCGAAATTTTAACGGAGTAAAAAGGCAAAATACTTTTTTTTGGATGTCCGCTCAACAGCAGCCAAGGTGACACACTTTGACGTTTCAAGGTGACCTTTATCGATTGAAGCAGCGCTGACAATTCTGTATAGGGTAGACAAGACGAATGTGGCTAAAACAACAATTTTAAGAATAAAGTGGAAATTTTGTAGAAAAAATGAAGTAAATATGTGGAAACGTTTATGTGTCTTCGTGCTGGATTTATTAAGATCAATTGGATGTATTTTCTACGAAAATACCTGATTAAATATAAGTCTAGCGAATATTTCGTGTGCTTAGATGATAGCGATAAGTGCCGAAAGCTACTCATTTACCCTATGTGTATTTGACAATCAGCTGGCACTCAGCTGCTTGCACGCTACCTCACACTGTGCCGGTCAATTTGGTTAAACCAAAAATCTCGATAGTGCCCATTAATTCATATAAAATGTATTTATTTATATAAAAATTGCAATTTATGCTTCATTTGCAAACTTAGCCATAATAAAAGTTCAAATATCCATATGCACGTTTTGCATAATGTAAATAGGTTTCATAAATATTTCACGACGGGTAAATTTTAAATAGAGCAGCAACATTGTAACTTCCGACGGACTCTTCTCTTCCGGCCTAAAATACCCTGCCGAGAATACAAGAATGTAACTGGATATGCTAGGTAATTGTACTGCAACCGGGTTTTGGACAAATATGTTTATTGGAGTACATGCATCCGATTTTTTTTCAAATCTCTGAATATGCGATCACTGAACAACCGTGCGAAAATAAATTTTACCACAACAAAATCAATATATTCTCGAAACCAAGAGCAAAAACAGTGAGACAGGTTCTGCAACTACTTTCGAGTGAATTTCAACCCATCCCAATTTGAATTAAAAGCAAGTTTGATTGAAATTCACTCGGAAGAGAATTGCAAAACCCGCTTGAGTAAAACTTCGTTTTTAGTTTTTCACTCTGATGTCAGGATTTTTTTAAGGACTTTGAAATAACAAATATGATTAATACATAAAATTATTTTAAAAATGCAGTGCAATATAAAATAGCAATATGGGTAACAGATTTAAAAGAAAATTCTGTGTAGATTCTCCTTTATTAGCTTGAAAAAATTTAATTAATTTAAATGGAATCTTCAATACCTAATCGTTTCTATGAACCAAACAACTAAGCTCAGAATTTTCTCCTTCCTTTAGTACATACATATATTGTTACTTTACATCGATCTGAATTTTATTTTTAATTTCTGAATCAATCTTATCTTTGAAATTTCAAAGTCATTTAAAAAAAATCCTCACGGCAGAGAGAAAAACCTTGACACTGCATTTTTTGAAAAATGTCCTTTAAAATTTTACTATAAGGCAGCCGAATGTCAGAAAATAAAGCGAGAAAGCTATTTTGTTACTTCACCTGTTTATTACGCTATGGAAAAACTAAAACCGCAGTTTTATTATATTTGGTCCATAGTTTCGTGAGTATTTTTCCCCCAAATGGGGATTAATTTCTTCCCGATTTTCTTCTTATTCTACTGAGCAGTATCAAATTGAGCTGTCACAACTGATACCACCTAGTATTGTTGCATCATGTGTATATTGATTGTTCGTGTGTTAGAAATTTTTTGGTTTTTGGTCACGGTGATATAACAAAAAAAAGAAGGTTGTTTCACTCAATGATTTTTGCCGCCATTGGCGTTCTTGAAAAGTTTTTTGAGACAGAGCATTTTCGAACTGGCTGCGAGATAGATCGATCTTCCACTCAGCAGTCGAAATGCACAAAAAAAAATTTAATATTTTAAATATAGTCAAGCCTTAGGCGGCATAGTTTTAGGCGGAGTTTTTTTTTTTTTTTTTTTGACAAATCAAGTGCACAGAAGTCGGTGTTCACCTCTAAAACACCGTTCTAAGTTTAAAGGAAGAGAAAAATTAAAGTATAAAGCTTAGTTTACAGCTGTCAAGAAAAACGAAAAAATCATATAAAATGGCGCACATGAAACGGAAAAGAAATTTTCTTCCATCAAAATTTCTAAAATTAATTTGCAGCTCTCAAGAAAAATGCTTGTACATTTATTTCTTCATGAAAACTTACAGCAAAAGCAAAGTACTTTTACAGGCAACAGAAATATAGAAAATTATTTCTTGTTATTTTTTTTTACTGCTGGAAACTAAGCCATTACAACATTTTAACAGAGTCCGATTCCAATTTTTTTTTTTTCGGCTTATGGGAAAAGAATTGGCCGATGCCGATACCGATTCCATAAGAAATTACAAAAAAAATTTATTAGTTCATAAAATTAGTTAATTTAACGGAGTTAACAAAACAAAAGGAAACAAATAATTGAATTAATTGGCTTGTTATGCAACATTACATACACATCTATGTACATACATACTACATATCGTCGTTTAAAGTACAAAACCGAGTATATGCATTCTGCAAAACCGCGTAACTGGCATTTGCTGCCAAAAATTGAATTCGCTCACACAAGCTCTTGGCTGAATCCAACAATCAATTGAAAATGCGACTGCTTTATAAAAAAGAGAACCACTTTGAAAAATTAGTGTTTTTACTCTCTAGAAAATAATTTATGCAACCTCACATACGCGGTTTTGCATTTGGTTGATATGCAGTTTTGTACTTTAAACCACGATATGTATGGATTTGTAAAAATATATGTACATATTTCACATTTATCATGTATGTACATTACATAAAACACTGTTTTATAAGCAAGAAATATTTCGGAACATAAGAATTCATTTCCTTTTGTACTACAATACACTTTTTTGCACTGAATGCATAAGAACTTATATGCTAGATATGTATCAGAGTTGTGAAAAATGCATTAAATTTTTTAATGCATAGCATTTTAAGGTAATTGAAAAAAATTAATGCATTAATTTTTGATAATTAACGTAAATGAAAATTTCAATGCATTAATTCCGAAGAAATAATGCTAATGATTTTTTTTTTGTATTAACAATAAAATGTTTAAATGAATGCTATTGCAATAATTTATTGCATTAGAATTATAACAAGCATTAAAAACCCATTAACTAATTTTTTTTTAAGTAAAAATTCCTTGCTGACGTTGAGTGTAGAATTTTAAGGTCAAAAAAAATAGTGACGGACGTTAAAGCTGGTTTTCACTATGTCAAGCTCAATGGCATTTGTCGTAAAATACACATAATATAATGAAGCTGAAAATACTATTAGTAATTATTCCAAGTCCTTCCAAAAGAGGTTATTTATATTTCACTAGAAAAAAATTTAATGGTTTTTAATAATGCAAACGAGCAAAAGTATTAATAATTTTAGTGCATTAAAATTTTTTCATTTGCATTAGCTTCGATGATTAAATGAAAAAAAAATAAATCATTAGGATTACATTTTTCAGAATTAATGCATTGAAATATTCATTTGCATTAAATTTCATAAATTAAAGCATTAATTTTTTACATTAACATTATTGCTTTAAATACCATTAATGCAGTAAAAAATGAATGCATATTTTCCAACTCTAGTATGTATGTACATTAGACTGCATCACTCCCCATACAAAAAAAAAATCGGTACTGTTTTTCCATTGGAATTATAAAATCTATTATATTTTACGACGTCCGCCAAAATATTTCGAAAAAATATTAAGATTTAACTGAGCTGGACCGATTTGAAAATACCTCCAAAGTTGGAGTTTTTTTCAAAGATTGGTATAAGAAAAACTTGAATAACTGAGCCCAAACTCTCCCGANCGAAAAAATATTAAGATTTAACTGAGCTGGACCGATTTGAAAATACCTCCAAAGTTGGAGTTTTTTTCAAAGATTGGTATAAGAAAAACTTGAATAACTGAGCCCAAACTCTCCCGATTTAGACTTGTGAGATATCATTGGAAAGGTATTTTGTCACCACTTTTATTTCTTTGCTAATAAACTCATTCAAAGGATGAAAGAGAAAGGTAGGATGAACGAGTATCATTCAAAGTTGAATTAAGATGTGTTGGTATTTGAAAAAAAAAAATATTGGGACACGAATGACTTTGTTTTTGCACATAAATAAAAATAGTGGGAAAATACCTTTCTACCGAGATCCCATAAGTCTAAATCAGTAATAGTTTTGGCCCGGTTATTTAAGTTTTTCGTAAANTGGACAGAAATAAAAATAGTGAGAAAATATCTTTCTACCGATATCCCTTAAGTCTAAATCAGAATAGTTTTGGCCAAGTTATTTAAGTTTATCGTAAATCAATCTTTGAAAAAAGTAAAAAAAAACAGCATCAAAAATCTCATTATTACGATTCCGTTGAAAAGATTTATAAATATTTTTATGCAGAATTTCTAAGCCTAATTTGTTTTGTCATCTGAGGGGACTTTTTTCAAAGAGTTCTTTAAGAAACTATTTTTATTCTTAAAAACTCAATTTTTGGAGGTATTTTCAAATCGGTCCAGCTCGCTTAAATCTTAATATTTTTCCGAAATATTTTGGTGGACGTCTTAAATATAATAAATTTTGTAATCCCGGCGGAAAAACCGCGACTTTTTTTGGTGACGCAGTCTAATGTACATACATACATATAGTGGTCCACAAAATAAAATAATTGCGATATTTTGACCGGTTTTGGCATTTGGTATTTGTCTTTTGTTTATTTAAAGTTTATTATTTTTTTATAAAAGTCTAGCTGGTATCCAACAAACACCATATAAATTCAGATTTCAAACTTTTACAAAAATTATAAAATGCCGATGCCGATTAATCGGTCGAACTCTACTTTTTAACACACCTATTTAGGCAAATAAGAAGGGTAAACAGTTTTCATTTAATAAAAAATGTTAACTTTTTTTCTGCAAAATTAGTAAAATTGTAAATATTAACATGACGAACTCAGTAGGTCATCACAAAAATAATAGCAATTGCCACCGTTGAAGCTTTCAAATTGCTCTCTGCATACCTAAACGTAACAATTGATTGTAAACATTACAATAGTTATAGCGGCGAATATATCAAATACTTTGATATTTTGCGGACGAATTTGGTTTTTGCTTAAAAATTACTTGTTATTTTCTATAAATAAAAATTATTAACGTTTTAAATTAGGTTAAAACTATACAAATGTTTTTATTTACATACTTACTTTTCGCT